GGCGGCGGAGTTCTGAGGATTTGGATCCATGAAGCGGAAATGGATCGATCGAGCTCTGTTGTGTTAGAGAGTGTGAAGAGAGAAGGATCAAAACCTAAACCCCCCAAAAAAAGGGGGCGGGTTTTGAGTTGGAGAATTCAAGAACTGGGAACCGCCAAATTATTTTTGTGGGGGGGTCATTTTCGAACAGGACGGACAAATTGGTAATAGGAAGAAATTGTTGGGGTTAGTTTGGGAATAAGTCCAAGCGTAACAGAAAAGGGTTTGGGGGGACTTTGGTGAAATTAACCTTAGCGGAAACGCTAATATGTAAAGCCATTCTCTATAAGCTGAACAAATACTCTATAAATTGTATATCGATCCCTCAAAACTTCCTAATTTAGAAATTAGGCCATCAAATCAATGAAAATTGGTATTGTGTCCTTCAAACCTTATTAGTTGCTTCAAATGGGTCACAATCTTAGTCCATCTAAATTGCGAATTCAGGTCGAGTTAGTTGTTAGCCACACACAACAAATAATATTTGTACCTCAACTAGCTAATCTCCTCCCAAAAGTACCAAAATAACTTCAAAAAACAAGTTTAAAAAAGGGTTTAAATGAGTCTAGAGGAACTCTGATTTGGGGTTTAAACGGGTTTGGATTTGTAGTAACTTAAAACAGAGGGGCTTGGAATCCCCCAAAAATGAGTTGAGTTAAATGAAGTATCTCCCGGACCAAATAACGACTTTGATGATTTGAGGGACTAATTTCAAAAAAAAATTAAAGATTTTAGGGACTAATACAAAAAAAATACACCACAAATCAAATATGTTTCTTAAATCTTTCAAATGCTGAAATTAGTCCCTTAAATCATTGAAATTGCTCTCCAGTTCTTTCAAATAAGTCCCTCTGAACTATCAAGCGTCTTTAACTCAGATTATACTAGTGACCAACCAACGTGGTTAATTACATTTCACCCCCCACGAAAATCTCCTTGCAAGTATATAGTTACACAAATTAAGAACATGGTTAAACCTCATGATGCCTTCTGTAGTAAATTAACAAAATCCCTTCACTGCTTCGTTCAGCATGAACAACATGAACGCCTTGTTGTAATTGTATATTAACAATTCCAAGGCCTTTTCATCATTTGCTGAAGCAAAAAATCAGCAGTGCAAGTATTTTGCTTGATCGGCTGCAAAGAAGAAGAGAAAGAGCGGCGGATTTCTTTGAGGGGGCTCCGGTGATAGGTAGAGAGAGTTTGAATTTGATTCTGTGTTTACTCAAGGAGAACGATCCTCCTTTTATAGGGGCCAAACTCATCACCTCGAGAACGATCCTCCTTTTATAGGGGCCAAACTCATCACCTCCACCCCCTCATAACCGCCCCTGAGAGATTTTCTCTCAACAAACTCATTTTCCACATTTCCCATGTTTTTTACTTCTTGAGAGCTGTTGATTTGGTCACACAGGACCGAGTCAAGGTAACATTTTGCTGTAGCTTTTGTTGTGCGCGGCGGAAGCCAAAACCAAACCGGTGTGCTTCGAGAGACCAAATCAAACAAACGCCGAGAGAAGACCAAACACAATCAAAATAACGACACGAGGAACATAAACAACCAATTTTAACGTGGTTCGGCAAGTTGCCTACGTCCACGGGGCAAGAATGAGATTGGGTTTTCACTAATAGAGAAGAAGAGTACAAACTGAGATTACAAAATCACACAAACTCACCAATTAACCTCACCAACAAATCTCTAATTCTCTCCAAATAGAACCTAACCAATAGCTCAGAAAATGCCTCTTTTCTGTGCTGCAAATATCCAAATATCCCCAATTCGCTGCTCAATTATCTCTTCCAATCGTTCCATATATATAGAAATCCTAAAACCAAAAACATACTAGGAATTCTAAAACCAAAAAATCCTAAAACCAAAAACATACTAGGAATTCTAAAACCAAAAACAAAACAGATTAGGAATCCTAATAACCTGTTACCAAAAAATTCTAAAACCAAAAACAAAACAGATTAGGAATCCTAATAACCTGTTACCAAAACAGATTTGGAATCCTATTACCAAAACAGATTAGGAATCCCAATAATCTGTTACCAAAACAAATTAGAAAACATATTAGGAACATGCTATCCAACAGCTTTGTATCGGTCATAGTATTCAAATGTAGAGTTAAAGGTCATCTACATATGTGCCTTGTTGTCCTGCATACTAACAGTTACTAATGCTTTTTCACATAGGAGGCCAGTTGAATAGAAAGATGGTCGGGTCAATCCATTGGCTCGCGCTAGCTGGTTAGCTTGCTCAGGCTCGGACTGTGCAGAATTGGGAGTATATGCGTACACAAAGTCGATGTATTCGAAGGTCAGCAGCACAATGGCTTATAATCTCTCTAGTATGGCCTGAATCGCCAAGGTGCGCGCTCTGAACTTAGCAGCCTCGCAATATAGCATTGTTTACTTCTGCATAACATAGTCGAAAAAGGATGCAAATAAGCAACTCTCTATTAACAAGCTTCGTATGCCTTCAGTCCCACAGGCATCCAGAGTATTAAAAAAAATTTGTAAATCTCTATATTTGGTTTTTCTTTTCCAGTCAATAGTTACATCTTAGACTCGCAAATGCTCTCTCTAACTGCATCCACTGACTAACTTACTGAGCAAAAGGGCATAAATGGTGACCTTCATCATTAATGAATTTTCTGAGGCCCGTATCAATTATCAGGTTAATTTGCACTTTATACACAGGTTTTATTCTTATGAATTGGAAGCAAAGCTTCTTATCCTCTGTTTTAGAATAAGATGCTACTAGACATGAATCTACCACTGACAAATTGTCCAGATCAGATTTCACATTAAATAATGCTTGACAAAGACGCTGGCAAAAGATAAATGCTATTACAGGGACAATTGTAATAACGAAATATGCAAGAACAGCAACTAGCATAAAATGAATTGATATTTTTAAAAAGCCGAAATAGATACGTTGGAGGATCTCAAGATAAAGGTTTTCAAAATAATTACTTAGAATTGCTAACAAAAAAAAACAGTTGATGTGCGCATGCCAAAGAACATTGGCTCCGAATCAGTAGTTTACTCACTGCATATGGCCAAGCCAAGGCAGGGTTTTCTACATAATAGCAGGCATCATCTACTTCTGTTAAGATTTATTTATAACATTTTAGATTTATAGAAAAATTCCAGCAATTTTAAGCGGTCGGTCACCTTTCATGACTATGAAAGATTTTCAGCTACTTTTACTAGTACAGCATCTTGTTTGCTGATGAACCCAGTAATTGACAGTTCCGTTATGAGATTATCAATTAATTTTACTGCCATATTATATATCTTATCGATCGGCTGATGACAGATTAGCTGACAGGTTCCCTTCATTTTCTAAACTTATATTAAGAACACCCCAATTTAACAGACATCAGGTGCTACAACAAATGTTTTTTAATCTCATATTAAAAGCATGAGAGGTGTTCTCCCAGACACTATCCATTCATCTTCTGAATTATATGTCACATTGTTATAACAATACATATGAACGAAAACAATCAGCTAGTTGGGGTTTCCTTATTTATAAAATTAAGCGTCTGGGGGTGTTTTCTATGTAACCAAAGCTAAAGGTGCACAAAAGCTAGTGGTTACCCAAACCTGTAAGAAGAGTAGAAAGATGGCATGTATGGCTCCCTTGTAGATTGAGATGCCGTATATCGACGCCTTAGTGGCCTATACTGCTTCACCCAAACGTCGGTTTCTTTTAGCTGATACCTGGATCGATAGAAAATTCAAAATTCGCGTTATCGCTCCAAAACAGGCAAAGGCTTGAAAGAGCACCACACATTGTAAGCCAATGATGTAGACGAGGACCTTCAGCTGACGGCCACGAAGCACCGACTTACTCAGCAAGAGAGCTTTCTGAACCGTATCAAATTCCCAGAACCCTACATGCACAAATCCTTTTGTTACACTGTGCACAGCTCCTCATGGCTTAAAATGCTGTAGGACTGCTTCCAGGGTGCAGGAATAGGCCACCTGAAAAAAGGGTTGCGCGGTCTTAAACAATCGGGGCTGACATTTCTGATGATTGCCAGGGTAGGCATAAGTTCAGGTTACGTCGAAAAGGGAAGATGATAATGTTCATTGGTTGAGATATTTCTGTAACAAAATATTGATCAAACTCACTCATGTAAAATGGAATACGCAACTCATAGGAAATTGCTAACGTTGAAAATGTTTTTCCTGATAAACCACTAAATTTAAATAAATTTAAAAAAATGAGAACAGCAACAAATATAATTTTCTCCTGATAGATAACTCAATAAGTTCTAATGTCTAATTTGTTGAATTCTAATGGCCTGTTTGGATGGAGGGTAGAGAGGGGGGGAAGAGAAATCTAATTTTAACCTTGTTTGGGAGTTCCATTTAGGATGACAGAGAAGGGGAATGAGGGAGAAATTTGAGCCAGAATTTTACACCCCAAATTGGGGTGTAAGGAAGGGGAAGGGAAGGAAGGAGAACTTTTCCCCTTTCTTCCCTTCCCTATGCCATCTCCCAAACACACTGTTAAATTAAGAAATTCTAGAATGCAAGTGTTGACACATGTCAATGCAATATGTATGGATGTAGGGGTGTCCAAAAAGCCCGGAGCCCGGACCCGGCCCGGTCGTGCCCGGGCCCGGGCCCGGCCCGGTCGTGCCCGGGCCCGGGCCCGGCCCGGTCGGGCCCGAAACCCGGGCAAAACCCGGGTCCGGGCACCCGGCCCGGCCCGGCCATAACGGTCACAAAGGTGACCGTTGCCCAGCCCGGCCCGGGCCAAATCTGGCCTAACGGCCAGATTTGGTCTTTTGACCGTTTTGCCCCTTAAAACGGTCAAAAAACGGCTATTTTTCGAGGGTTTTTTGGTCATTTACCTAGGGGGCTGCTTCTATAAATAGAGGGGGGGTTTCAATTCATTTTCTCACAACAAAACTCATCTATTTCTCTCTCTACTACTCTCTTATACAATCTTATACTATCTCATACTAATATACTATCCTATAATCTTTTGTATTTTCTAATACTTCCAACAAATGGCTTCTGGGTCTGATTATGAAGAGCAACATGCAACTCCTACCGATCCAGAGATGAGTCCTCCTACAACAACTCCTCATCCTACCGGTGTTAATCCTGAATCTGGTGGCGACGAATCTACGGCACCAAGAGCTCCAAAAAGGCCGAGGTCTGATGTATGGAATTTTTTTGAGAAGATAGACGTCACCAAGGATGAACACGGTAGGATCATCTCTCAGAATGCGAAATGTGCGTTGTGCGGCCAGATATTCAAAGCTCATCATAAGAGCGGCACCAACCATCTCAAACGGCATATTGAAAAACACAACAAAGGCCAAAATCTACAAGGTGATATCCGGCAGTCTATGCTTTCCCAATCATCCTCTTCAGGTACCCTCGGCAGTTGGAATTATGACGCTGCCCGAGCCCGGAAATGCGTAATCAGGTTTATTGTTCTTAAAAACCTTCCTTTTAAATTAGTAGAAGATGATGAATTTGAAGATTTATTTAGAGATGGTTTTTATCCTGCATTTACAAAATTTTCTCGTCAAACCTGTCAACGTGATATTTTAAAATATTATGTTGAGGAACAGGGAAAAATAATTTCTTATTTTAAAAATTTAAACTGCAAATTTTCTTTAACTTCTGATATTTGGTCATCTAGAGTGCAAACTGGTTATTTATGTATAACAGCACACTGGATTGATGAAAGTTGGAAAATGTTTAAAAGAGTTGTTTCTTTTATTGCAATTGAAGAGTCACACACTGGTATTAATGTTGCAAATTTAATTGTTGAAGAACTTATGAAACTAGAAATTGATCAAAGAATATTTACTCTTTCACTAGATAATGCAAGTAATAATAATGTAGCTGTTGATTTTCTGAAAATAACTTTGTCATTGCCATGTCATGGTGAGCTTTTTCATGTTAGATGTATCTGTCATATTTTAAATTTAATTGTTCAAAGTGCATTTTCTGAAATTAAACCCATGATAGAAAAAGTTAGAACAGTTACTAATATGCATAATGCTTCTGAAATGAGAATTAAAAGATGGAAACAATGTTGTAAAAGAAAAAATTATAAGCCTAGACTAATTCCAAAAGATGTTGACCATAGGTGGAATTCCACCTATGCAATGTTATCTGTAGCAATAGAATATAAAGAAATTATAAATGATTTTATAAATTTTTATGCTTCTAGTTCTAGCTCTGGTAGTGCTTATGGAATAACTGAAGATGAATGGACAGTTATATGTAAATTAAATGAGATGTTACAAGTTTTTTATGATGCTACTATGTTATTATCTGGTTGTTATTATCCAACTATTACTTTAGCTGCTTTACAAATTTTAAATATTCAAAAATTTTTTGCAAAATATCGTATGGATGATACTTTTGGAAATATAATTTTTCAAATGGAGAGTAAATTTAATAAGTATTTTAGGCCTATTCCTCATATTTTTGGTATTGGTGTTCTTATTGATCCATGCTTGAAGGAAATTGGCCTTCGAAGTTTGTTACAATCATTGTATGGTGGACAGATTATAGACTTAGATGATGGATCCACCCTTACTGCTACTACTCATTATTTAGCTATTAGAAATTATTTTCAAACCTTATATGATGAGTATGCAGCTAGATATGGTGTAGCTACACAACAGTCTTCAGCTTCGGCACCTTCAGCTTCGAGCACAGGTCGAGGTAAAAGTGTAAGTTTTGATAGGTATGCAATGGTAGCTGAACTAACTGGTGGATCTGGAACTTCATCAGGATTAGATGTTTCTGAAATAGATGAATATTTTTCTGCTTCTTTAGTTAGATGTCAAGGAAATGCTTTAGATATTTTGCAATGGTGGAAAGTATATGGATCAGTTTCATATCCTATACTTTCCACCATGGTTCGTGACTTACTATCAGTGCAGGTTTCGACTGTAGCCTCGGAATCCGCTTTCAGCACAGCAGGACGTTTGATCGACGACCACAGGACATGCTTAGATCCGTATACTGTACAAGCGGTGATGTGCTTACAGGATTGGTGGAGATACGAGAAGCGAACACAAGGCATCGAACGGATTGCTATGATTGAAGATAAATTTGAAGAGTTGGGACTAGCAGATAGATATAATGATTAGATAATATTCATAAAATTGTAATTTTTATTTCTTAGCTTTAAATTTGAATTAAATTATTTCGAAAAAAGTTGCAAATGATAGTGATATGGGTGAGTAGGTGCCAACCTAGTTGGGATGTACTCATCTATTGTGATGCGACGAATTTCAAAATAAATTTATACTTGTAAAGGATTTACCGATTATTAATAAAGAAGTTATTTTTATCATTTTTTGTACTTGTAATTTATGTCATTTCATTTCAAGTTATTAATAAAATTTATGACATTTTTTATAATAATTTATAATTTATGGTTTTGTTAAAATTTAAAAAAATAAAAAAAAACAAAATTTAAAAAAAAAATCAAACCGGGCCGGCCCGGTGTCCGGCCCGCTCAGGCCCGGGCCCGGGCCCGGACCCGGCCCGGACCACCCGGGCCCGGGTCCGGGCTTGGGTTTTGCCCGGCCCGGGCCCGGTTTTCCGGGCCGGGCCGGCCCGGATGGACAGCCCTATATGGATGCATTGAAGCCCTAAGGGGCCAAGTATTCACAAAACTCAATAGTCTTATGTCTGTCCTACCTTAAGAAGGTTCGAAACAGTTTCAACGACTTCAAACAGGGGAGAATATAACTATCTGAAGTTCCCACTTTATTTTTATTTGATTATGCATTTGATTCCTAAAATGTAATGTTCCTTCTCTAAGGAATGTTTGCCTTAATTTGCCTTGTATTCATACCATGATGTCCATAACCTCTCCTCATAAGCATCTCTTCATGTAGACATCAATACATGATTTTTCCAGAGACCATAATGAGCTATACTTTATCCATAGAGAGTTACACTATGGCCATAGAGAGTTATACTTTCATCATAAGGTGCTACACTTATTATAAAGAGATATACTTTCCCAAATTTTGAAAAAGTGAGAGCGGACCCATGGGTTAAGTGAACAATTGGTCAAACAACACATTATACATTTTCACCTTTACATTGCTAAAAAAACTGATTTGATTTATTCCGCTAAGTATCAGAATTTTCAGATACATAAAGAGCTATACTTTATCCTTAAAGAGCTATACTATAACCATAAAGAGCTATACTTTAGAATAAAGAGCTATACTTTCATCACAAGGTGCTACACTTTATTATAAAGAGCTATATTTTCCCAAAATTTGAAAAAGTGAGAGTGGACCTATGGGTTACACGAAGAATTGATCAAACAACACATATTATACATCTTTACACATTTATATTGCTCAGAAAAAAACTAATTTGAAGATGTATAAATAAAATACAATCATCATATATTAGGTGTAAGTTTTGAACATGTCAGTAAGTATTTTCATTGATGAAACCACCAACATATGTACATGATAGCCCGTGCATAGCTTAGTGCGCAAAACTCTAAAAATGGCAATAGCATCAACCATTTGTTCAAGAAATTAAAAATAAAACTCTAAGTAAACCACCACATATCAATGTCTCACAAAGATACATAGTATGTACAATCAGAATACAAGTCTATTGACCCTCTTGAATGTTCTATCTGCACATAATCCTCAATCATCACATTCTACAAAATTGAACTTCTCTTGGACATTTCATTAAACACCTTCATTGCATCCTCAACCAACCCCGACACTACTAATCATTGTGGTCCAAATAACTTTATCGCTCTTGTCATTTCATCAAATATCTTTCATGCATCAACCTTGTCATCAAAACTTAGATACATATAAGCAAATTGTTATGCGCAAAGATAATAAGATTTTCTTAACTGAATATAGAAATCAATCGCCAAGATCCATACTTAATGATACGATGGACCAAGAAGTAACCAGAAACCAGTGGATCAAATATGGAGAAAGAAGAGGAGTAAGTGGGGGACAAATTTTCAAAGACAAAGTAGCGAGTCAGTGATGGTCGTGACAACGGTGATCCTAGCAGAGAGAGAAAATGGATTCGTTTAGTTGAGTGACGAAGCAAAGAGACTACTTACAAGCGGCCATAGAGTTGGTTGTTTTGAGATCAGAGAAGAATATTTTTGAGAAGTTGTAACTTTTTAAAAGGATAATGTATACATAAACACTAAAATATGGTACTTGGGTTAAAAAATAAGTGAGTGGAGATCTATTGGGTGTACGAGTAATTTTGAAAATAGATGGGTTTAAAAATAAGTCAAAGTAAAACTTGGGGTTAATAAACAAAAACCCCATTTATTTATTGAACTATTAGTGAATAGCGACCACTAAACATACAAAACTACTAGTCCCGTGTGTTTTGAAATTCATATTTTACAAAATCAAGCTCTTCTTTACCAGCCTTAGTGAACTAGCAAAAAAAATCGATTTTGCTAAATAATTAACAAAACGATCGTTTTTGTTAAATATTAATTAAATAAGGTCTCTTTCAAACAATTCTCCTATGTATTCCCTTCCGTGTTAAAAGCAAATATGTTACATTATAAATGTACTATTATCCAAGTAATCATCTGGCATTTTCATTTATCGTCCACTATAAGCATCTCTAATTCATAACGGGCAAACATCATCATTGTCCTCACATTAATTATTCCTGGAGGATAAAAAATCATACAAAGAATGCAAAATACAATAAGCATTTAATACTATAAAAAGAGTACTTCACACAGGACACTGCTGAGACCACATAAAGTACAGATGTCACAAAAAATCAGATACATAACTTGATCTTTCAAGAATACATACAACCATCTCAAGCAAGTGAATCTTCTCAATGAAATAATAATAATGTAACAATTTTCTTCAACATGAAATTACAATAAAAATTTACAGAAAACCAATTTTCTTCAATATGAAATTACAATAAAAATACAAATAAATTAGTGACGGGAAAATGGGAAAATTAGAACCACAGAGAAGCCCTTACTTCAAAGGTAGTGACCTGTGTTCTGAAGGCACCTGATGCTTTTGATTTAGAAGGCATTAGAACTTATCCAACAAAATCTCAGGGTGAAGAAAAATACCCAAAATTTTGATTCGGCGATCTTCAAGCTCAAGCTTATTAGAGTCACAACATTGTCGGACATTTTGCATCAAGAAATTCCTTCAATGTTTTTGCTGCTTTTTGACCTCCCATTAATTCGGCTAATCTCTCTACAGGAAGAAGAGCAAGCTCGGCCAAGTTTTTACAGCTGTCCATTATTGCTCGGTAATTTGAATCAGTTACACCAGGGAGACGTCTCAAGAACTCAATTGCAGACGTATTGTAATTTTCAGCCCTAGTGCATTCAGAAACACAAGGTCAAGTCTAAAGGAACAGATAATTTATAACAAGGAAAGCCCTAAATACAAATATTATATTTGAATCCCTCAAATCTTCAATATCCGTGCATAGTCCCTCACATCTTTGAAATCGCTCAAGTCCCTCAAATCCTAAGGGGTCTCGCAATATGGAATTATTGAAGATTTGACGGACTAATGTCTAATAACACATTAATATTATTACCGAAATATTGAACGTAATCAGTTTCATGAGGGCATTTCATGTCGGATTTCTGTTCCAAAATATAGAGCAAATGAATGACTCACAATACTCGGATTTATCAGACCTTGTAAAAAGAAAACATATCAACAAAATGTAAAGACAAAATTGGCCTTCCAATTTGAAGGTTAGCATTTCCACACAAAAGACATCTTGATCATATGCCAATTAAAGAAGTATTATCATTTCTATCAAACTATAAGATCATGTCAGCTACAAAGAATCTCGCATTCACCAAACTATAAAAGAGTTTTCGTTTTAGGCCTTGCACTCTATACATATACACTTAGCTATATGAAATAACCATACCTTAGTAAAATAGATGGTGCCACGCTTCCAGATTAGGAAGGTTGCTGTAGCCTGACTAAAGGTGGTAAACGATTGAATCGAATCAAATCCTTAGGTGTTCGTATTTGTAGTTGTTTAAAATTATCAAATTCGAATGCGGACTCTAATATTCATATATGGAGTTTTTCGAATTCTAACTCGAATACTTGGTATTTGATACATATTCATGAATATTCACGAATATTTATCGAATATCAAAGTACATTTATTCTGCTAAAGAACTTGATTTTTAGATAGTATTTAAGTTAATAAATAAAAATTATTCATTTATATTATATGATGTATATATATTTTAAATTCAAAATTTTCATTAGAAAACAGATTTAAGATTTGTTAGAATTAGTTCTTGGGTTATCGGGTTAGGACCCATTAACCCATTAGCCTATTACCCATATGTAACCCTATATATACCCATGGAGATGAATGAAATAGTAAGCTCTCTAATTTTCCTACTCTTAACATGGTATCAGAGCTGGCTCTAATCCTAATTCCCAAACCCTAGCCTCCACATAAAAAATGAAAAAATAAATTTGTGAAGCTGAAAACCCTAACTGCCGGCATTCCCTAAGTGACGGCCGCCGCTGCTTCTCTGCCGTCTATTGCTCCCCTGTCGTCGCTACTTCCTCGCTGACACCAGATCCGTCACCTTCGAAGTTCGACATCCTCAGATCTGTCGTCTTTGACGCTTGTTTCCGGCCGATCCTCCTCGTCCTCGCTTCGACATCTTCGGTGAAAGAAACGCGACGGCTTCGACATCCTCGTCAGATCTGTCGTCTCCTCTCCTTGACCCTGCCTTTACCAGGTTGACGACGTCAAGATCTTTCGTGGGTCACTAATCGCTTGTCGAAGCTCATGATATTTTCTCTGCCCTTTTTCTTCTTCTCTGAGTTGTAGACGAAAGAGAAGAGTGAGAGATGGATGGGTTTATGGTGAGGAACCGATTGGGTTCCTGTTCTCTTTTTTTTTCTGAGTTGTTGAATAGTTAAAAAAACAGCAAAAAAAAAACAAAAACAAAAACAAAAAGCAAAAAGCAAAAAAAAAAGCAAAAAAAAAAAATTAATCTTAACCTTTGGGTTCTAACCCGGGGTTCCTAAGCACTGACCTTCGGGTTCTTATTCTAACTTTCGGGTTTCTGAACATTAACCTTCGGGTTCCTGAACACTGACCTTCGGGTTTTTCTATTTTAACCTTCAGGTTCCTGAACTCTGACCTTCGGGTTATAACCCAGGTTCTGACCTTCGGGTTCTATCCTGACCTTCGGGTTTTCTCTTCTGACCTTCGGGTTTCTTTTTTTAATCCTTCGGATTTTATACAAGAGGATTTCTGCTATCCTTGCTATCCTGTTCTGTAACAATGGCAGGATCTGACATCTCTTCTGTTACTACTACACCTACTACTGCTGAGATTTCTGTCCCCAAAGTCGTTTTGGGGACCACCGTCAAGTTAAATGGCACCAACTATCTACTCTGGGCACAAGCCTTCCGTATCTTCATTGGTGCTCAGAATAAATTGGCTCATCTTCTGGCTCCACCTCCCTCATCAACAGATCCCACGTATCCCGCCTGGCTTTCTGCTGACTGTTGTGTGATGACTTGGCTTCTTAATAGCATGGAAGCCCAGATCAGTAGCAGTGTCATGTTCTCGAACACTACTAAGGAAATGTGGGATAATTTAAAAATTATGTACGGGAATGAGAAAAATGCATCCTGTGTGTTCGAGTTGTATGAACGTTTTTTCTCTCTTCAACAGGGCGATCGCTCTGTACCCGAATATTTTGGTGAGTTGAAGAGTCTGATCGATGAATTAGAAATGCATCAGCCCGCCGTTACGGATGCCGCAACACTGTTGGGATATCGTAGAGACCTTGCTGTCTCCAAGTTCTTGTCAGATCTGAGTCCCACCTTGCAGTCTCAGATACAGGGCCAAATACTCGGGGGAGATACTATCCCATCATTGACTGCTACATTCTCCAGAGTTATGCAAGTAACTACTGGATTGACTACTGCTTCTTCTACACCGTCCGCTCCATCACTTGATCAGTCTGCTATGTTCTTCGGACGTGGCAGAGGTCGTGGTCATGGTCGAGGACGTGGCCGCGACACAGGGGGAGGACGTGGCACCTTTGGTGGTCGACAAGTTGACTTTGGCAAGAATCTTCGTCAGTGCATACATTGTGGAAGGACTAATCACATCTCTGAGAAGTGTTGGGAGAAGTTTGGTCGACCTGCATAGGCCCAGATTGCTGATACGATACTTACCCCTGTTGCTTCTCTTGCTACTACTTCTGCTCCCTTCACTATTCAGATTTCTCAAACCGAGTATGACCGGTTACGTCAACTCGATCTCTCTCAGAACAATTATTCTGCTACTCATGCATCCTCTTCAGGTATGGATGCCTACATTGCCTCTCCTCACAGACCATGGGTATTAGATTCTGGCGCTTCTTCTCATATGACAGGTCTTAAGGACCACTTTGTTTCCTTAAACCTTTCTGACAAGTTTCCATCGGTCCGGATCGCTGATGGGACATACTCTCCCGTTCTTGGTGATGGAGTAGTTCATGCTACTTCATCGCTTACTCTTACTAATGTTTTATATCTTCCCAAATTTCCTGTTAGTTTACTGTCCATCAGTCAATTCACAAAACACAACTGCAAAGTCACATTTTTCCCTTCTCATTGTGTTTTTCAGGACCTAGCAACTGGAATGACGATTGGTTCGGGGCATGAGAGAGGAGGCATGTACTATTTGGATGACAATATGCCTGCTACTGGTCTTATTGCAGATAAGTCTGATAATCCTTTATTATGGCATCAACGACTTGGTCATCCCTCGTTATCGAAGCTTAGGTCTGTCATTTCTATCCAGTCCTCTATTTCTTCTTTAGGTTGTGAGTCTTGTGAACTGGGTAAGCACCATCGTGCTACTTATCCGAGTCGTATTGATAAACGCAGCAGTTCTGCATTCGAATTAGTCCATTCTGATGTTTGGGGTCCATGTCGTATACCTTCCGTGAACGGTTAGAGATATTTCCTTGTCTTTATTGATGACTTCTCTCGCATGACTTGGCTTTATCTTTTAAAAGAGAGATCTGAGGTTTCCACCATTTTCGAAATATTTTACAAAGAAATCAAAAACCAATTTTCCACCTCTATTCGTATCCTTCGTACCGATAATGCTTTGGAATACATGAAACATGACCTCTCTCGTTTTTGTGCAAATATTGGTATTATCCACCAAACATCATGTTCTCACACTTCACAACAAAATGGAGTTGCTGAAAGAAAGCATAGACACATTTTAGACGTTGCTAGAACTCTGATGGTACATATGAATGTACCAAAGTATTTGTGGTCTGATGCAGTCCTCAGTGCATGTTTCCTGATTAATAGGATGCCCTCTCCTGTTCTTAATGGTAAAATACCATTCACCTGCCTTTATCCTGACAAAAAGCCTTTTCCTGTGGTTCCTCGGGTTTTTGGCTGTACTTGCTTTGTTCAGGATTTGTCTCCCGGATTGGATAAACTGTCTCCACGGTCTATTAAGTGTGTCTTTGTAGGCTATTCACGTACGCAAAAAGGGTATCGATGTTATAATCCATCCACCAGGAAATATTTTGTGTCTGCCGATGTAACCTTTTTTGAGTCGGTTCCATACTTCTCCTTGACTGGTTCACCCCCAACTGTCAGTCCATCTGCGCCTCTTCCGTCTATTGCTCCTACTGCTATTCCACTACCTGCTTCGGTTCCTTCTGCTGATGGATCTTCTCCAGGACTACAAAATGCTTCCATTATGCCATCTGCACCACCACCACTACTGACGTATTGTCGTCGTTTAAAAGTTCATGTCCCTCTCTCTGCTCCAGTCGAACAGTCATCTCCCGTTGCAAGTCTGCCTCCTTCTACTCCTTCTGATCTAGATATTCCAATTGCTCATCGAAAAGGTAAACGGTCTTGTACTAATCATCCTATATCTGATTTTGTTTCATATGACCGTCTTACTCCCTCTTCTCGTCAGTTTGCTTTGTCCTTGTCCTCTGTATCTCTACCCAGGTCATATGAGGAGGCCGTATTAGATCCTGCTTGGAAACATGCAATGGATGAGGAGATGGATGCACTTATTTCTAGAGGGACTTGGGATCTTATACCTTCTCCGACGGGCGCTACCGTAGTTGGCTGTCGGTGGGTTTATACATTAAAGTATCGCACCGATGGTTCAATTGATCGTTATAAAGCTCGTCTTGTTGCTAAAGGATATACTCAAACCTATGAGGTTTATCTTGAGACGTTCTCTCCCGTTGCCCGTTTTAATTCCATTCGCCTCCTTTTCTCTATGGCTGTTAATTTGGACTGGATAATGTTTCAGCTAGATGTTAAAAATGCCTTTCTGTATGGTGACTTGCAGGAGGAAGTCTATATGGAGCAACCTTCAGGGTATGTTGCTCAGGGGGAGAATACTGTCTGCAAGCTTAAAAAGGCAATTTATGGTCTCAAACAGAGTCCACGGGCATGGTTTGTAAGCTTAAAAAGGCAATTTATGGTCTCAAACAGAGTCCACGGGCATGGTTTGAGAAATTTAGTACTGCTATATCTGGTGTCGGTTTCAAACGATGTCAGTCTGATCACTCCGTCTTTATTCGGCGCACTACATCTGGTCTGGTGATTCTGACAGTATATGTTGATGACATCCTGCTAACTGGGAGTGACCTTGTTGCCATAGCTAAAACTAAGGAGTACCTTTCACGTCACTTTGTGACCAAAGATATGGGAAAACCTAAATACTTTCTTGGGATTGAGATTGCACATCAAAAAGACCGTTTACTTCTATCTCAAAGAAAATATGTATTGGACTTATTAGAAGAAATGGGCCTTTTGGGGTGTAAGCCAGCAAACACTCCCATGGAAGTGAATGTGGACTTGTGGCGTGATAATAGTCCTCTCCTAGATGATGCAGGCCGATATAGGAGATTGATTGGCAATTTGATCTATCTTACTGTGACCAGACCTGATATTACCTTTGCAGTGGGAGTATTGAGCAGGTTTATGCATATACCTAAAGAGGTTCACTGGACTGCTGCTCTAAGAATTTTGGCTTATATTAAAAGCTGTCCGGGAAAAGGATTACTGTATAAGAAACATGGACATTTACACATCTCTGCCTATTCTGATGCTGGGTATGCGGGAGATATAGGAGATAGAAAGTCTACTTCTGGATTTTGCACCTTTATTGGAGGAAATCTGGTTACTTGGAGGAGCAAGAAACAAGATGTAGTATCTCGATCTAGTGCAGAAGCAGAATACAGAGCTATGGCTCACACTGTTTGTGAGATGATATGGCTACAGAAGCTGCTGACCAAGCTTGGCTTTTCGCAGCCTGAATCTATGCTTATGCATTGTGATAATCAATCTGCTATCCACATTGCAAAGAATCCAGTGTTTCATGAGAGAACTAAGCATATTGAAGTTGATTGTAATTTTGTCAGAGATGTTTGAGAAAAGAAAGTGATATCTCTTCAGTTCACTCCGTATTCGGAACAGTTAGCTGACATTCTCACTAAAGCTACTTCACCTAATGTGTTTTCCATTCTATGTAACAAGCTGGGCATGATTGATATATATGCTCCAGGTTGAGGGGGAGTGTTAGAATTAGTTCTTGGGTTATCGGGTTAGGACCCATTAACCCATTAGCCTATTACCCATATGTAACCCTATATATACCCATGGAGATGAATGAAATAGTAAGCCCCTCTGATTTTCTCACTATCTAACAGGGTTCATGTCGGATGGCTGAAATTCATATCGGATAGCAAAAATCGGGGATATATCGGGGGACATTGACTAAATATCGGATTGCTATATCGGGTGGTGCGCATATGTATAATATCATGTCCTAAATATAATCTAAGCATTTCTAAATTCAATATAAGCGTACTTTATAAATTCTATAGACTAAACATATAAAAAAGTAAATAATATATGGATTT